TCTGCCATGTTCAACCTGAGTTTTGAGTTTGGGGAGCAAGGAGTGCATTTGGTCACAGGACAACTTTCCAGATAGCCATATTCAGCAGACTAAACAGGCAAAGCCAGGGCTTTTCTGATGTTTCCTCCTCGTTTCTCAGAAAAGAGGCTTCCCTGCTCCCTCCCTTGACAGTTATGAAAAAGGACAGCTGTTAGCTTAGAAATGATTTATCTTGTGAAAAGAAATAGCCTCGAAGAAAAACTATTTTATAGCTCTGTGCCATATACTCTGAACAGAATGCAGGGTGCATGTATCAAAATGTGTTAAAAACAAATGTAAACACACCCAAGTGTGTTAGAGAAATAGTTATAATCTTCCCTCTGAGCTCACGTCCATACTGGGGGAAAGAACACAGATAATCTGGGAAAATGCAGAGCTTGCTCTTGGGTGTTCTCCAAAGGGATCTTGGGTTTCCCAGGCAATAGCCAGCATACTCTTTGGCCCATGAAGTACTCTGTTTGGGGGACCTTAGCTGCTGTTGATGAAGCTTCCCTTGGTGCCAGTGTGCCAATAGTGCCACTTTAAAGAGCCAGGACATGATCTGAACTGCCTTGGTCACTTTAGGGAATGAGGCAGAGGAGATCAGAGTGCCAGGATTATTTTTGGGTCCTCCTTGTGCCAGGAAAGGAGGCCAGAAAGAGGCTACATGGTGGTCAGGGGCCAGAAGAGCTGCAATCCAAGCCCGTACTGTTGACAAGCCTTTGTGTCCTCAAAGCAATCGCTTTTGCCTCAGTGTTACGAGGATTAATTGAGATCAAGTACACAAGACTGCAGACATCGCCTGGATAAGGGCCTGATTATCATTCATTGGCATGCCCTCTGCACATTGATGTTTCTAAATCATAGAAGCTGCCATCATTACAACAGTGATCTTTATCTAATGTGCTTGCCACCATTGCTTCCCTGTGAGTCAGTTGCTCAGGCATGCCTCCCAAGGCGCAGGATATCCCAGGTATTTAGTTCCCTTAGTCTGAAGTGCTTCCCAGTGAGGGCTTCTCAGGGATGGAGTTTCTGGCAGTGGTGCAGGGGGAGAGATGGACATTTAATGGGTTGGCAAACATTTTGCAGAGGTGTCTGCATGCTTGGCAGAAAGCAGTTTGTGAGATGTTTTAAACCAATTAAAATGAAGCTGTAATATACTTAAAGGAAAATTGCTGTTGCTGGTCGAGAAAGGATGCAAATCTACCTAACCTTTGCATGGTGGGGAAGAGGCAGAAGAGGCCCTCGCTACAGATGAGAAGGGAATGTTGAAATATGAGAATGTTTCCATCAGGACAGATGGAGTTCTTGAAGATTTTTTGGTTACATTTGTTTTAAAGTTTTAATCAAGCCTCCCCTCCCCCAAGGGAAAGTAGCTGAAGAAGAAATAGAATAATAAAGAGCAACATTTTCAAAGCAAGTCCACAACCAGTTCTCCTGCCCAACCCCATGTGCCCACTTTGTCGACAAAGCTGCTGTGGGAATGCAGAGAGAGCAGTGAGCACTCTTCGGGCCATTTGGAATCCCAGTCCCAGGCCCTACTTTCTACTGCTTCACATGTGACCCCAACAGGCCCCCAGACCCCCCCAAGTGCAGACTCCTAGACCATTTATGAACATTTTGTCTCTGACACTGTATGTCTGTGCCTTTGCTCCCTGAGGTTCTTCTGTGGGCAGCTCTGTGAGACCTTACCTCTGTATTAGAACATTTTATCACAGCAGGGTACAGGCTGAATAGCCTGTCTTTGTCAAAGGGACGTAACTTTGACTTGCCCATCTTTGAAGACCATTTCCCCAGGCTCCCCGGAGTTTAGCTGGTCCCCATGAGCATTCCCAGTCACCACTAGCCTTCCAACCCCTTCGCAGCTGAGACCTCACACAAAGGGTGCAGAGCCTGAGTTGTGAGCCTTGATTCCTATCACAGGGATCCTTGTGGAGGGTGTGTGCCCTCTGCTGTCTGATAGGTTCCATAGTCACTGTTGTGTAAATGCACAAAACATCTTATATATACATAAAACCAGTGTGCTATGGGAATTCCTAAGAAGCAGGTTGCCTGTTTTAAAGTGCATTGGGTGTACTTGAGGAGAGAAAAGTACTTAGATACAACTGATGCCAAGAAATACCTTAAAAAAAAAAAAAGGCAACAAAAGAACAGACACCAAGGATAGCTGTCTTGTCTGTGCTCAGGGATATTAAATTACCAGATGAACTATATATCCAGAGAGAATAGTGACTAGAAGTTTTAATATTAAGTACCAGCGTTTATTGAATACTCACTAACACTTCAAGCATTGTGCAGAGCCAAGCTGTGATTAATGCATGCACACCTCCACTTGTCCAGCTTTCACCCACGGCAGACATCACCAGTCAATCACAGTTCTCCTGTTGGGCCAGCATGTGGCCTCATCATCCTCAATTCGCTATTCTAGGAAGTCAGCATCATGGGATTACAGTTGGTATACAAAAACGAAGCTGATTTAAAATCAGCTGACATGTTTTACTTGTATTAACTCATTTTGCCATTATGATAACTCTTCAAGGTAGGTAACAGTTCCTTTTTACTTAAGGAGGAAAATGAGACTCAGAGAGAATCCCTATTAAGAGTTAGAACCAGGGTTCAGTCCCTGACAGTTTGATTTCAAAGCTAGTGCGTTTAATCACTGTTACACTACTTCTCTGGTCTTAATGTTTAGAAAAGTGGTCAGAGAAATAGCTGTTACTCTTTCATCGTGTCTTTACTAGATTGGTGAAAGCCTCTGGACCTTAAGGGTTTGACTCAAAGTCTCTTGAACCATTCCCACGCTCCAAGCTGTATCCACTCCACCCCCAGGCGGCTACTTGGCCCCTGAAAAGGCCTGTGCTTCCCTAGAGAGGCCAGCCTGCCACCACTGCCACCACTGCCACCGCCAGTCATTTACTTCCATCCCCACTAGGGGGCACCCATAGGATCGTGCTGGGTGTGTCTTGGACACATTACCTTTTTTCCTCCCAGGGGGACTGGGAGGGCCACTCTGTGTGTGTGTGTGTGTGTGAGAGAGAGAGAGAGAGAGAGAGAGAGAGAGGGAGGGAGAAAGAGGGAGGGGGAAGGAGAGGAAGAGGGAAGGAGAGGAAGGGAGAGAGGGAGATTGGATTTGTTTTGGAGAAGATCAGTGGCCCCATTGCTAAAATGTTTTGAAGTTTAACTTAGTTGATACTGAAACATGCTTTAAAGTAATTGTATTGAATGTGTTGACAATTAGAACATTTTACCCCTGTTAATAATGCCAATTTTTAAAGAGCCATAAGCAGATTTTACCTAGGTGCTACTGTTTGCTCAGGTGCATTAGTTAATGGTTTGGCATGTATGTTTTCATTTTTTGATGAATACAAATGTTCAGACTTAGTTTGTGCATTACTTCAGATTCCCAAATTACACACCTCTTTAGAATCCTTATTTCTTTTATTTAATACACTGTAGGCCTGAAATCTAACTTAGGATGTGATGACACTTATTTTAAATTTCTGAAATAATATCTAGCCTCCTATAATGTATTCCAATGTTTAACAATGCTGTGCAAGGACATTTTTTGAGTCCTAATAAACCTTTATTTAAAAAATGTTTTTATTTGTTTTTAGAGAGAAAGGAAGGGAGAGGGATAGAGAGATAGAAACATTGATGAGGGAGAAACATCATCGATTGGCTGCCTCCTGCACCCCCCCCCTCCCCAGGGGATCAAGCCTGAAACCTGGGCATGTGCCCTGACTGGTAATCCCTGACCTCTTGGTTAATAGGTTGATGTTCAACCACTGAGCCACGCTGGCCCAGCCTAATTAATCTTTGCTGCTACACTTTGTCTTCTCCACTGAAAGCAGTTAGTTGCTATCTCAGTGACAATTCCTAGTTTAATGGATCACATTAATATTAATAGTAAACTTATTAAGAGAGGCAGGAACGATGCTAGGCTATCTACATATATATTTATTTAATCCTTACCACATACCTTCAAGAAAAATGTTATCACTCTCTTTTTACAGATGAGAGAACTGAGGTGAGTGATTTGAACAGGGCCCTCCAAAACGAGTAAGGATTCAAGGTGGGGTTTGAACCCTGGTTTATGAGAAATGAAAGCCTTTCTGCCCTTTCTACTCTACCTGTCAGTATTAAGTCTTGCCTTGTCTAGGTCGGCTAATTTCTGCAAGCTTTTAAGAATTCCTAGGTCTATAAACAGGTCCCTCTGATTATTCAGCCTATTTTATAGGAATAGCTCACTACCACATGGAGCTTATAGACCTTGGTTTAGTGCTCTCGTGTAGGGTAACGGCAGGTTGTTTGTTCAATAGCAGCTTTATTGAAATGTGATTCACACACCAAGAAACTTACACATTTGAAGTGTACAAATTTCATGCTTTCTAGTATATTTGCAAAGTTGTACAACCATTTCCACAGTCAAGTTTAGAAATTTTCATCACCCCCCAAAAAGAAACCCCATGTCCATTAGATCACTCCCCATTCCTTTATCCCTCTCCCTTTGGCAACATCCAACCTTCTTTCCATCTCTATGGATTTGCCTTTTCTGGACATTTTATATGGATGGAATCATACAATATGTGGCCTTTTGTGTCTGGCTTCTTTCATTGAGTGTAATGTTTTCAAAGTTCATCATGGTGTAGCCCGAATCAACACTGCATTCCTTTTGATGGCTGAATAATATTCCATTGTATGGCTAGACCACATTTTATTGATCCATTTATCCATTGATGGACATTTGAGTTGTTTGTACATTTTGGCTGTTATGGAATATTTATGTACAGGCCTTTGTGTGGCCGTGTTTCCATTTTCACTTTGCCAGTTTTCTTTAATGCATCGTGGAGTGGTTCAGTAAGTCTTTCGTTTGGTTACAACCGTTCTATGTGATGGCAAATTGCAACAGTAGAGGACCTGTTTGAGTTGCTTATTGTGGTCGTGTTTTCTGGGTGAGTTCCTATAGTCTGCTTTTTTTGTAGACCTGCCCTTCATGCAGAATCACGTTTGCTCCCAAATCAGAAGCTGGTGCAGAAGGGGGCGCAGTGCAAAATGGCTGTCAGGAGGAGCATAAAAATAACACCAAGGTAACAAGTTCCTCACTGTCATCCTGTCAGTTCTTCTCCTGGTGCATCCACCTGAGATGACACTACTGTCTTGTCAACTTCTCAGTTCTGAGAATAACTCCTCTTAGGTGACACCGTTCCATACCTTCTAGTCCTTTGGGTTTTGAGCAGACCAGCAAAGAATGGGATGGAGAATCAGAACTCATCCCTGAGAAGCGATCACACGTGGAACTGGATGGGATCCCTAATGGGCTATAAGGGTTTAAAAACATGTGGATTAGAGTTTTGGAAGGTTTGTGGGGCTGGAAGTTGGATTCAGCATATGGTGGAATGTGGATTAGCGAATAGAAGAGGGGACTTTGGGATATGAGACACATCATGAAGAGTGGCTTGGTGTTAGGGACAGCAGCAAGGAAGCTGCCAGAGAAACGTCACTTGGAACCAGAGCCAGGCCTGGAGTGGAAAGCAGAATAAAGACCAAACCTGAGAGCCTTTCAAGCAGCGAGGAAGGTTGGCCCTCCAGGAGATCTATATCTCTCATCCTACCCTCACGTCATCTGCCCTTGGACTCACCCGACACTGGGTCAGTCTGTGTTGCAGACAGGCAGTCACCCTTTCTTAAGCTACAGCCCATATGGGTTTTCTTTCTCTGGATCCACCTGTGCACTTCTCCCAAGTCCCCCAAACCTTCCCCACAGCCCCTCTGGAACCCTGGTTCTGTGGTCAGCAACTCTGAGAGCCTCAACCTCCCTGGTTGCCTGAATGCCTGGAGGTGCTATTTGGCAAACTAGGGGGATAGGGAGAAGCAGATGGGCAGAGAGTTTGGGAGTTTGGATTGGAACAGATTTGAAGGTGCAGCATGCAGTCCAGTAGGACCCCAGTGTAGCAGAGGGGTTGGGTGGAAGAGCACGTTGCATACCCACGGGTCACCTCTGTGTCTGCTTCCCTCTGTCTTGAGGCAGGTTTCTGGAGGACATAATTCCAAAGCACAAAACGGACTCCTGAGCCCTCCCCAAGAGGAAAAACTCACCAATAGCCAGACCTCCCTGTGTGAAATCTTACAGGAAAAGGGAAAGTGGGCAGGTGTCAGTTTGGACCAGTCTGCTCTCCTCCCGCTGAGGTTCAAGAACATCCGGGAGAAAACAGACGCCCACTTTGTTGATGTTATCAAAGAAGACAGGTAAGAGTGGAGCCATGGGCATTGAAGTAAAGTTGGCGGGTAGGAGGCTCTCCCTTTTTCTGAATTACTGTATCTGACATGTGTTGTCAGTGTATCACTTTACATTGAAGTAATTTGAAATGTAGAAACATGGCTTTAAATAATACAAAGAAGTCCCTTTAAGCCTTTGCCTGATTTTCTAACTTTTAACATTTTACTCTTTGTTTTATTCTCTCTCTCTCCCTCTTTCTCTCTGGAATTTATTATTTTCTAAATCGTTTGACTGTAAGTTGAATACATCATTCCCTTTACTCCTTAATACTATATTTCCTTAAAATAAAGATGTTCTTTCACATAATCATAGTTATCAAATTCAGGAAATTTGGCATTGATGTGATATTTTATCTAATCTACAGCCCCTGTTCCAGTTTGTTTGTTTTTAATCCTCACCTGAGGATATGTTTTTATTGATTTTTTAGAGAGAAAAGAAGGGGGAGAGAGAAAGAAACATTGATGTGAGAATGAAACATTGATCTGTTGCCTCCCACACACGCCTCCACCAGGATGGGGATCTAACCTGCAATCCAGGTACATGCCCTTGGCTGGGAATTGTACCCAAGACCCTTTGGTGCTCAGGCCTACGTTCTAACCACTGACCCATACCAACCAGGGCTGCATAGTAATTTTTTCAAATTTATTTTTATTGTTGAAAGTATTCCAGGTGTCCCCATTCCCCCCCCATTGATCCCCTCTGCCTTGCATCTGCCCTCCCCTCCCCCTTGTTATTTTGATCAACCAGGCAAGTGTGTTGCAGACTTCTTCAGTCTATAGTTATGATTTTCTTCTTGTGACTAATAGTCTGTGGGATACTTTATGATCATGTAAATATCCCATTCCTCATCAAACTCCCCTAGATTTAATCTGCATGGATGGCTCTTGCCTATAACAGTCTTCACTGTGATGGTTCAGAATGATGATTTTCCTACTCCAGTACCAACGACACAGTTATCATGTGGCATCAACATTCCACTGTAAAGAAAAACCCTTCCCCATTTATTCCTTTATCTACCCCTGTATTACCAGTCTGGACTCACAGAGCTCTGTTACTCTAGTTTGATGCTCTAGTTGTACCAAATCTGGCCACTGGGACCCCCCTTCAGGCTGGCTCCTGTCTTTTTGACATGGCTGCATTGTTTATTTTGAGCAATTTCTTACATTCTGTCTAGTGCAGCAATTTTCAACTGGTGTGCCACAGCAGATATACTGGTGTGCCGTGAGAATTTTTAAAACTTGCAGTACCCAACTACTTAGTATCCTTTTTCTGCAGAAAAAGGATATTAACTATTTGCTGGCAGTCCATCTTTTCCCTTAGATTGTCAAATTAAAAAATGACAGCAGCCAACACAACAATAGCCATCTGGTGTGAATGAATCAGAATTACACCTTTTTTTATTTTGTCAGATCAGCAAGAAATATAATGTATTTTTTGGTGTGCCATAGAATTTTGGTAATTAGTTTGTGTGTGCCATGAGATAAGAATAGTTGAAAATCGCTGGTCTAGCACAACAGGATATTCCAGACTTGTTTCGTATCATGCCTGCCCCAGCTTAGTAATCGGACATTTCTCAAAAGAGCCCTCACTACTTTTAGTGAAGAACAGTATTTAGATATGCTAGTCATTAATGCCTAACGTAATGTCATCATGGTCAAAGGCACACCCTGTGTGATTTCAGTCCTTCTACACTTATTGACACTTGGTTTGTGGCCTCACATATGGTCTTTTTTGGGGAACATACCTTTGCACTTGGAAAAAACTATATTCAGCATGTGTAGGATGTGGTGATGGTGGTTCCACATTAGGGGATAGAATTTTCTCTCTTCTGAGTCTGAGATTGTAGTGAGGTGTTGCACACTTAACACAAAAAGAGAGTCCATTCTTTTGCAAGGAAAGGAGAAGGCATGTGTACAGTGAACCCTACTGTGTCAGACATATGCCGGGCACTTTACCTATTCCATCTGATTTAACTCTAGTATTTACTTATGAGGGAGAGAGACTACACCCCATGGCTATATTTGCCTTCTGAAACCATGTTAACGTTCTCTTAAATTTATAGTAATTTTCTGCAGTAGAAAAAGGATATTAACTATTTGCTGGCAATCCGTAAAAGAATGAGTCACGTAAAGCAGGTTTGATTTCTCTGCTATTAAAGTCGTTGAGCGTTATCATTTTTCAGGTTTCATATGCAATCTGCATTTGTGACAGTAGCACCAAAATTACACTAACTGTAAACACAATTTTGTAATAACAATCTGTTAGCTTTCTTTGATGGTGATTACTGTCAGTACTCTGAATGACAGGACAGCCAGGTCTGAATTATGTTTTCACTGGAAGCCTTTAAATATCTGCATAAGTGCGCTCAGTACAGGGATCTGCTGATCCTTCAGAAGGATAGTTTCATAGAACAAAAAAGCTGCCTTTTCTAACTCTGGATTTCAGGAAGATGTTTTCAAAACCAGGGTTCTAATGATGCGTGTTATAATTATGGTGAATGGTCATTCTTTAGTAGAGGGCAAACATAAAATGTGATTATGTTTGGAAACACTTTCTAGATACATGCTCTAAAAGGGGTGGTTGAGCCATGTCTATAATGTGGCGACTTTTAGATACAGCTTTTGTGACATGCTTAATGAATGGAGTTTTGGTAGCTAATTGTGATCTTCTGATAAAATAGATATGATTGTGCTTCATGTTGATCAGTTGCATTTTTAATCTCTTCTAGCCTGATGAAAGATTATTTTTTTAAGCCACCCATTAATCAGTTCAGCTTGAACTTCCTGGATCAGGAGCTAGAGCAAGCCTACAGAACCAGCTATCAAGAAGAGGTGCGTGTTCCTTACAATTTTACTAAAGAAATGTGTTGTTTTTACTGGATAGTTTCCCATTAGTTTTGTGCTTTGGAAACCTTTTTTGTTTTCCTGAGTGACAGAAAAATGAAGGCTAATATTGATTTCCCACAATCTGTAAGCCCTAAATTGTATCTTTATGTGAGTTTATCTACACAAGGGAAAAAACTCCAAATCTTTCTGCACCTTTGAGTCTAACAACCTAGGCTTGTCATTTCCCAGTCCCCTTCCTCTGCAGCTGGTGTATCCACCATTAGGCTGCATGCTGTCCCAGGGCCTTGTTTCATATGTACCCCAGTATCCCCACAGAGCCAGGCCCAGAGCAGGCTCCTGCGTGAAGGCGTGGTCATCTCTTACTGTCAGTTGACATGCCTGTATTTTCATCTGCTGCTGCTTCAATCCCCACCTGTTACTTTTGTCATGAAGCTAGCTTTCACACACCTTGAACCTGGGACCCAGATTCAGTGGAAGCTTCCAACGCATGGCTTTTGTGCTACTGACTTAACAGACGTAGAGTCGTTGACTTAACCAGTAGTAACTTGCCTTTCACACTCAGTGTGTAATGTGCCTGTGAGAACTTACTGGTGTGTAATCAGTTGCTGTGTGACCTTGGGCAGGTACCTTAACTTCTCTGTGCCTTAGTTTCCTCATTGTTAACTGGAGAAATAGTAGGGAGATGGCCAACCTAAAGCACTTAGCACCCTGTACCTGGTTGAGGGTAGGCAAATGCTCAACAAATGTTTGGGTTTTTCCACCCAAACTATACTCCGTGACCATCTGTCACAGCATCTGTTCATGTACCTCCTCCACCTTTCTCCTACTCCAAACAGGTTATGAAAAATTCTCCGGTGAAGACTTTTGCTAGTGCCACCTTCAGCTCCCTCCTGGATGTGTTTCTGTCAACAACAGTGTTTCTGATTCTCTCCATCACGTGCTTCCTGAAGTACGGGGCTGCCACCACGCCTCCCCCGCCAGCCACCTTGGTGGTCTTTGGGGTAGCCCTGCTACTGGAGGTGCTGTCCCTCGTGGTCTCTGTCAGGTAAAGGCTCACCTGCAGGGTGGTTCTCCAGCTTTTAGTCTCTGGCTCCCTCTGCTGGCTCAACAGTTTAGGACTGAACTGTCTGCGGCACAGCTGACCAGCCGCCTGAAAGCAGGCTGTCTCTGCAAGCTCATTTCAGGTGGCGGGTCCTCTTTCTTTCCCTCCCCCAGCCCCACTTCACAGGTTTCTCCCTTGAAGACCCTCGCCCTCAGTACAAGTGGGCACCCTCTTTACCAGAGGGTCAGTGTCCTTTGCAGTCCTGATGCTACCAGCTAGTCCCCTGGATCTCCCAGATCAGAGACTTTAAAAAAAGAAAAGGTGGGAAGATAGGGAATAAGAAAAGGTAGAGAAAAAAGAAGTGCATAGGGTGCAAATAATAAGGGCTGCCAGCAGGTGAGCAGGTGCCTCTCCTGGATGTAAGAGCGAAACTATAAAACCTTCAGGAGAAATCATAGGTGTAAGTCTCTGTGAGCTTGGATCAAGCAGTGTTTCTTAGTTATAACACAAAAAGCACAAGCAACCAAAGAAAAAATAGTTAGACTTCATCAAAATTCAAAATTTTTAAGTTGAAAGAACACCTCAAAAAAGTTAAAAAGAACCTGCAGAATGGGAGAGAATATTTGCAGATCTTATCTATGACCAGGGCCTAAGATCTATAATGTAAACTCAATAATGAAAAGATAACCCATTTAAAAATGGACAGGGGGTCTGAATGGACAGCAGTGGCCCCTCAGGAAGCTGGGCCCTCAGGACCTGCCCAGCTTTGATGTTAGGATTCACTCTAGCACTGAGGACGCCCACAGCTGCTCTGTACATTTCTGACTAGATGTGAATGCATGGGGTACTCTGTTCACAAACACACAGACTGTCTGTGCCATCTACCTCCTGGGCACTGTGACACTGGGTCCTTGCAGCACAACCACCTCCTCTGTTCAGCCCTGTCATTCCCAACAGGGTAGCCTGTCAGCCTAGTAGGGTCCCACTGGTAATTGCACGCCAAAACTGAGGATAAAACTAGCATAGAGAAGGGCCCTGACCGTAAGTTTCTGTTCCTCTTCCCCAACATCCCAGGACAGGAAGCAGTAGCCTCAGGTCTGGCCCTGAGGCTAGATGCCTGTCCCCCTCCCTTCCACACTCACTGTCTTCCTGCTCCCCAATGAGGCCCCTGTGAGGGGCTTTTTTGCTTAGGGCTGCCAGAGGCCACACCCTCATCTCCTGTCCCTGGTTGAGGTAACTTTGAGGTGCATCCTTGCTGCCTCCCCAAATTCCCCTCCAGGTGGGTGGAGCTTTATTGCCCACAATAAGTGACTCCTCCATCACACAACCCTCCCTGTGGGCCTGCCCCTCTGTGTTCTGGCTCTACACCCCTCACTGAGCTGCCTGGGACTCCCTCACAAATCAGCTCTGCTTCTGGAGAACCCAAACTAAGTCGTCCTCAGGCCCCTAGTTTTTTTTTTTCCTTTTTAAATTTAGTTTTTTTAAAATATAATTCACTGTAATAAATTCATTCATTTCAGTCTGCAATTCAGACATCACAGTATAATTTTAGAATACTTCTATCACCCTAAAGAAAACACAGTAACACAGTACCCATCTGCAGTTACTCCACTCCCCTCCCTGCCCCAGCTCCAGGTTTCTGTCTGGCATGGGGCCTACAGTGAGATAAGGCTCTTGATCTCTCTGAGGTTAGCATTGTCTCCATACATTTTTTTTTTTTTAAAAACACCTTTATACTATTGTTTCCTGTCCCTTGGACCCACTTCTACAGAATGTGGGCTAACCCACATTTAGAGACTACAGAGGGCTGCAGGCTAGACAGATGCCAGGCCGGGTTATACCTGGGCCAGGTGGATACAGTAGCTACTGTGCTTCTGAAAGACCCCTGGTGTGACTTTAAACCTTCACTTTACCCAGATTGTCAAAGCCTGGGAGAGGTTGAGACCCTGAAGGATTTCCTCTCGGCCCACTGAGGACATATTTATGTTTAGGATCCCAAACTAATAAGAATCTACACTGAGGTATATGTAGGTGCCCCAGGGAGGCCGGTTCTGTGACTGCTTCAGGGCCGGCCCTGGGCCTGGCATCTCATCTGGAAGGCTACCCAATCTCAGCTTGTGCTCTTGTCCTTCCACTCCAGCCATTTGTGCTGTGCCCAGGCAGGTGTGGAAACGGGTCTTGTCCTAGAAATTCTACAGTCCTGGGGATGTTTGTGGAGGGCCTCCCAGTCCTGCCTTCTCCTGACTGGGGCTCAGCTTCCTCTGTCTCCTTGTAGGGCTTATGTGTTCTGCCTTTGAGCATATTTGTGGTTATTTTTGGAAATATTCCAAGGACTCCATTACCCTTTAAGTATCAGGCCAGAATAGTCCAGGACTTAAAAGGGTCAGATGGGGGCTGGCTCCACGTGGGAGATGGCTGAGATTTGGGGTTTCCTCATGGAGCCTGAACATGGCCAGAGCAGTGGCTGCACTGCAGGTGTTCGGGCCTGAAGGTGCAGGTGCCTGGGTGTGTGTGAGAATCCCTGATGGGGTTTTGTGCCCTCGAAGTTTAGCAGTGGCTCCTGGCTCCTTTAGAAGCGAGGACAGTGGGCCTGGCCCACCCTTCCTTGGGAACTGGCTTCAGAGCGGGACTGTGTGTGGGTCTCCTTCCTGAGGCAGACCCTCACTGCCCTCTCTTCCATCTCCTGCTGCTGGAGTTCAGGCTGCTCCTGATTCTGGGGCCCCTAACTTAGCCAACGCCATTCTCCCTTCAGGATCACAGTCCTCAGCCCCACTCACTCAGCTTTCTTCTTTATGAAAAATATTTCAGTGATGTTATGTCACTATCCTGAAATATAGCCCACCTATACACACAACTTTGAAAAGAATCTGAAATGTCGTCACTCCAATATGAAGGAGAAACAACAAGAATGCCATTTAAAATATGTAATGCTTCAACTCTAATATGCTGGGGCACCACCATCTGGAGTTAGAGTCGTCAGCTGTCTGCCCTCATGCGCATGATTGCTGCGTATATGACAGTCCCAAATGTGGACCATTGGGGTGTGCAGGTTTGGTGGCACAAGCACATGGGGTGCGTTGCAGCCTATGATTTCTAAAATGCTGAACAACCCTTGGTGATGTCCGAAACAAAACAGGGTAATCTTTGCTTTCACAGTAGTTTATTTCTGGAAAAGTGTATGTTAACAACACACAGAAACCATTTTTTGTTTGTAAACAAAATGCAACTAGGCCCTAGGCTAAGGTCATTGTCAGCAGACTTTTCACCTCCATGTGTGTCCAGGGGGCATGTGGCATTGTGTGGGGCATAAGGCAGAGCTTCACTGTGCATTGCAGAATGCCTCTCTAGATGTCAGTAGCACCTCTCAATCATTGTGGCAACCAAAAAGTCCCCACAGAATTCCAAAACACCCCCTGAACCACCCACTCGAGACCTCCTGCCCTAGACTAGATGACAGTAAGGTGACCACTTTCAAAGGGCCTGTTAATATCTGCGTGCCCGGTTCTTACCTGCTCCGTTAGACCCAGAGAGACTTATGTTTTTTATAAGCACATCTTATCAGAATGCAACAAGTGAACTTAAGGTCTGACGAGCTGAGCAAGTCTAGTGTACTTGCCATCTCCCAATAGTGAGGACTGGGTGTGGGGGGGGCCGGGGGCAGCTCTGCCTGTGGTTCACTCCAGGGGCAGCAGCATGGGTGAGAGTGGGGAGCGGCACTGGCCCTGGATCCTTGGTCCCATCTCCTCTGGCAGGCTGACCCACCCACGGACACACTGTTTCTCCTTTCTCTCCCTCCCTGTTACAGGATGGTGTTTTTCCTGGAGGATGTGATGGCTTGTACCAAGCGCCTGCTGGAGTGGATAGCCGGCTGGCTGCCACGCCATTTCATTGGTGCCATCCTGGTGTCACTTCCCGCTCTCGCAGTCTATTCACACATCACTTCCGAATTTGAGACAAACATACATGTAAGTAAAGGCTTGGCAATTTTATTTCTGTGCTCTCTGGACTCCCTCATTACTTAAAAATAAATAAATAAACCTGATGACTTGGGACACCAATTTAGTATAGGCCCTTAAAGAAGTACAACCTCTTTGTCATTCCATGAGCTTGTCTTTTGAAAAGACTTGCGTGCGACAGAGGAGCAGGCAGGGAGGTTATCACGAAGTCTGTCTAGATGCTCAAGCCTGTTGGCCACACTCGTGAATGCTGAGTAAGATGCTGCTCTGTCTTGGGGAGAGTCCCCAGTAGACCTGTGTCCTGTCCACCAAGGTCCAAAATCAGTTATTTTTTTACATGTTTTACAACATAAATGTAAGCAATACCAGATAATGTGCTGGGCTGCAGGACAGGCACAGGTGATTGGCTCACACCTAGATTGGCTGCTAGTGATCAGGGAAGGAGCTTCTGAATAAACCCCATCAAGAATGAATTAATGCTGTTGTGGAAGATTATATTTTGGGTGAAAGTGACTGTAACATGAACTACCAGGGTGGGCTGACTATACCAATTACATTTCTGCTGGCAGGCAGCAGGTACCTGAAGGAAAGGCTTTTTGAAGGTAACTGATTACCCTGTGGTAGTTCTCAGATGGTGCGGCCTACCTTCCCTTTCTTCCAAAATGCGATTTCCCATATCTGGAGAATTTTAGGTCTTCTGTGAACTTATACCCTGAAGCTCTCTGTAATTAACCTCATGATTCATGATGTATCCTTGAAACCTCTGGATATTTTATGATATCTGTGATATATTTTTATATGACACAAACATAAATGAGCAAATCATTTGCTCTCATGGTGCTCAGGTGGCGGGTGGTGAGTGGGCCCACGAGTTGAGGAGGTGGGATGGATTCCTAACTGAGCACCTGCCCATCCTTGCAGTTCACCGTGTTCATGGGCTCAGCCATCCTCATCGCTGTGGTGCACTATTGTAACTTCTGCCAGCTCAGCTCCTGGATGCGCTCTTCCTTAGCCACCATCGTCGGGGCTGGGCCCCTGCTTCTGCTCTACATCTCCCTGTGCCCAGACAGGTACGTGTGCCACCGAGGGTCATGTCTGGCACCATTGATGGCAGGGCCACCTTTCCCAACATTGCTTATGTCTCTCTCACCTCAGTTTCACATTAGCACTAACATCGTCTGCTCTAATAGGTAGTCACTGTCACAATGAGATAGCTTTCAACACACATAATATCAACAGTGTGTTGAAATGCCCAAAGAGTAGTGTTTGGAAGAAAAAAAGAAAATAATTTTAATAACATAACGTATTTACATTTGGATTCTCTTGGGTGACTACCCTGGGAGACATAATGCAATAGTTACATGCTTGAACTTATTTATAATGAAATTAGAATTTAGGAAGGTAGGATCAGGTGCTGTTTCATACAAGACAATCAAGAAAATGAAGGAATAAAGATATAGGTACACAGAAAAATGAAAAGAGGAGGTGGGTTCTAACCTAATTTGAAGTAGCGTTAGTGTACCAAGATGGATTGCAGACTGTTGAAGTAGAGGAAATGAAGAGGTATGACCGTCTTGCAGGTGACCTGGGTGTTATTCATAAATACTGTGTCCAAACAGCTCCCTGTGTTATCACATGAAGCATTAGAGTCATAACAAACCACTGGAAATATGTTCTTATCTCGATATCTCTCCACATATCGAAGAATACATTCAGTTCCTGGTACTCACATGGCCTTCCAAACCATACCACCGATAAGTGCCGAGAATAGAGTGGGTGGGGTGGGAAAGAAGCAGGAGCTATGTGAGAGATCCCTGGGGACAGGATCCATTCTTACCGCTGTGCTGCAAAAATAAAAAAATAAAAATACATAAGATGGCAATATAGATGCTGTCTTTAAAATATCCCATATTAATGAAATCCAGTAAGATCCCTTTCATGTGTTCTAACAATTGAACAATGTTTGGTTCTTAGTTTGTTAAAATGAGTCTCAAATTGCCTATTGCGTATTTGCAACTGGTTTTGTGGCTTTTAACAGGAATTTATTTAAAAATTTCATGATAAGGTCTCGAACCCATTAAGCTTCCTTTTCTGTAACACACTTCTAACTATTGGACTTTTGGTGTAACTACTTATAAAAACATTTTGCTGTTGGCACATATTGAAGAACCACTTATTTATAATTACAGTGGATTTAGGGCTAGCAGGGTATTTCAGAGTTACATGGGATATTTCTTCATTGTGCTTCATAGGGTATTTAACATTCATGGCTCCCCAGATTATTATGATAACCAGAGGGACCCCCCAACATTTCCTAAATGCCCCCTAGAATGGTATTACCATTACCGAGAACCATTGCTTTAGTAAATTCAAAAGCAGGAAATCCAATTTGTCTAGATATCAAATGAAATTGCCATAGTACATCTTTGGGTAAAACCAAAGCTGTGGTTAGTAATGAACAGAGTAAGTATCCTTCCTTAATTTCCTTAAATAAGATAATAACCACATGAAGGATATTCAAGTTCTATGCAAATTAAGATTAATAGGGGAATATATAGTAGAACTGTCATTCAGTATTTAAAATGAAACTTTAATGAGTAGTTAAATTACTTTAAGCAAAACAAAGGCTACTTTTTCTTTTCTGAAGTTGCTGCCATCTGGAATTATGGTCATTATAAAGCTCTTTCTCAAGAGCCTAAAATTCAGCAATCTGCCTTTTAACCTTTTAGATCACAAATGCCTCATCAGTTGTTCACAGTGTCATTCAGTCACTGGTGTGAGGCTTTTCCACTTGGGTCTAGAGAGTCATTGTAATGGGGGACCCCTCATCACCTCTTTGCCCAGAATTTAAATAGTGAATCTTGAGGTAGGACTGGCAGTTGGGTCAGTACTTGAGCCAGTACTCCTCCATACACACAAGATCCTTTGAGCCCATTTAACCCATCATCACTGCTAAGTCTCTCCAGGGTAGGGAATGTATGGGGTGGTGAACAAAAACGTAAACTCAGCTCCTAAGGGGAAGAAACTCTTTGAGAGCAGTGGACAGCTTCTCGGGGACACAGACACATGGATTATGGTGATGTCACAATCATGTCTGGACAGGGTGAGATGAAGATATGAAGTCTTATAATTCACATCTTGCGATGTAGCTCTAGCTTTCCTTTCCTTGCCTGTGAAGTTATTTAATACCTTATGTGATTGTAAAAGCCACTTTGAGCCCTCACCTGGCCTTTGCTGCCCAGGAGCTGCTCACAGATGCTGTGCCATGTCCTCCTTCGAGGTGAGCGAGGCTCCCAGGGCAGGGAAGTTTGCAGCTGACTGCAGGATTGGGTGGATTCTGGGTGCAGTGCAATTCCAAAAGATGCTGCTAAGAATGTGGGGAAAATAAGGGCTGCATGTATGTACCTTCCCTGACACCGAGAGAGCGCTCTTTAATCATGAATGGTTTCAGTGCCCTAAAACTGGAATGTGATGGCCTTGGGCACTACCAACAGCAGTATGGCCAGAGACGTGCTCTGCCAACACCTCTAGCAGCTCCTTTCAAAATTGATCCTATGTCAGTAAGCATTGCTGTTTGAACGTGACTGAAGTTTCTATTCTATAGGAAACCATGATAAAGTCCTAACAGTAAAATGTATGCCTTTGAGAGTTTTCCTGTTTTACTTTGTTCTTTGGTGATTTGCCTACTTTCCATAGCTGATGTGAATGCTTTTTAGCTATATCATTGCCTTGTATTATTTTTAATCAACATATAGTACCAAATTAGGATAAAAAATTATCTAACTTGATCTCCACATAAAAGAGGAAAATTGTTTATTTAAACTCTCTCAGATTGCTTTATACAATGCGTTTATTGCCTTTTATAATAATATTTTTCTTTATTTTAATTTCAGTTCCATAGTAATGTCACATTTTAATGCAGTACAGAATTTCAGGTAAGCTTTTAACATTGTGCTTAAATCTGAATCAATGAGAGTAACTATATGACTTTTTATTCCTAAATGTCTTAAAAACAATTGTATCTTAAATAAAAAGAACAGTATATATATTCTTAGAAGAATAGATGGAAAGTATTTACTTGTTGAAATATCAGATCATAGTTATCATATTAGGAGAGTGAAATGATAGTTAAGATGTATGTTAGCCCTGACCAAGTAGGTCAGTTGGTTAGAGCATCATCCTGATAACACCAACTTTGTGGGTTCGATCCCTGGCCAGGGTGTATACAAGAATTCACCAATGAATGCATAAATAGATGTTTCTCTACACAAATAGATGTTTCTCTCTCTTTATCTCTATTTCTCTATTTCTCCCTCCCTCTCTCTCTCCCCCTTCCTCTCTCTCTTCCTCTTCCTCTTTCTCTCTAAAAAAAGAAATTTTAAAAAGGCATGTTAGATTTGGTTTAATTTTATATAAGACTTTAGGGAATCTCACCAATTAAAGAAAAGTACTTATTGTATTCTCTAAAATATTTTGAAACAAATAACTAGAAATTTTGAAATAATAAATGTTAGACTCTTGTTTTACTATAAACATCAAACTAAATTCTAAATAAATTGAAGAGTCAAAAATGAAAATTATATGAAACTATATAGAAATCTAGGAAAATTAAATAATTTTCAGGCCTCCAAGACAGGGATAACTTTTCCAATCTTACAAGTAATAGAACCACATGCAAAAAAAAAAAAAGAAAAGAAAAGACTTATTGACAGATTGATTGAGGAGAGGTGATCAAAGCAGACTGAGAAAAATATTTGTGGGACTGTTATTTAAAAAAAAAAAACTAATGAAGACCTGCATAGATAAAAGAACAAAAAACCAAAAGATTCACAAGAGGAAATGTATGTAGAAGATAAATATGTTACTGCTAAAGTCATCACACATTTAAATAGCTACAGAATTCCTTTTGGTCTTTTAAATTGGTCCTTTTAAAAGTTACACAAGAAGCCCAGCTTGTGTGGCTTAGTGGTTGAGCATCAACCCACACACCAAGAGTTCGCTGGTTCAATTCCCAGTCAGGGTACATGCCTGGGTTGCCAGCTCAAAGTGCGTGCAGGATGCAGCCAGTCAGTGTTCCTCTCATTGCTGTTTCTATTTCTCTCTTCCTTTCCCTTCCTCTCTTTCTAAAATCAATCAATATATATATTTTTAAAAGTTACAACAAAAATATCCAGTGCAGGCAGGGGTGTAGCACATTCAGAAATTGCTGGTGGTGGTTAATTTTGTGTAGCTGCAAGGCACTTATAAAATATAAGCTTACTGCCCGGCTGGGTATGCCTCAGCAATTGAGCATCGACCTAGGATCCAGGAGATCGAGGTTTGATTCCCAGTCAGGGCACATGCCTGGGTTGCGGGTCCGATCTCCAGCCGATCAATGACGAATCTCTCATCATTGATGTTTCAACTCTCCCTCTCCCTTCCTCTCGCTGAAATCAATAAAGATATTTTATATATATATATATATATATATACACACACACACACACACACACACACACACACACATATATATGTGTGTGTATATATATATATTTTATATATATATGTGTGTGTGTGTGTGTGTGTGTGTGTATATATACATATATATATATTTTTTTTTTTTGCTTATCTGTTGAGATAATTCAGTGTATGGTAAAGGCTGCATGCCCCAAAATATCAACCACAATGATTGATAATATTGAAAATTCATCATCAACCTCAGTTGTCAATAAAAAAGAAATAAATTGATTATGACACACATATTCAAATTTTGCAACTGTTAAAATGCAGCAACATGGGAAACATATGGTTTTCCTTTTCATTTATTATGTGAAATTACGTGTTCTGTAGCTACAGCTAGGTAATTCATTGTATATGAAAAATGTAAGATGTAATAGTTATGATCTAGTAATGAGTGATGAATGATGATATTTTTCTGTTTCTGAAATTGAAAAATTAAATATCTGTGGGCATTTAGACCTTGGAAGGAGAATTAAAGTAACTATGGAACAAAGCAGAATGCAAATGTGTTTCTGTGTATGATTACAACTATAGTACTTAAAAGCAAAACACTTAGCAGCTTTTTTAAGTTAAATTTTTATTGATGCATAACATATACAAAGAAAAGTACCCAGGTCATAAGAATACAGCTCAGTGAATTTTCACAAGTGTGCATACCGCTTGACTACCACTCAGATCAAGAAAAAGAACATTACCAGGAAGAAGCACCCCTGTCCCCTCCTGGTGACCCCCACCCTGCATCCTAGGCATAGATTTTTTTTTTTTAATTCTCACCGAGGATATTTTTTCCTTTGATTTTTACAGAGAGTGGAAGGGAGGTTGCGGGGGCGGGGAGGGGGGAAGAGAAACATTGATGTGAGAGAGACACATCGATTGGTTGTCTACTGCATGCTCTCCTACTGACCGCTGGGGATCAAGCCTGCAACCCAGGTACTGTGCCCTTGACTGGGAATCAAACCCGTGACCCTTTGGTGCACAGGCCAACGCTCTAACTGTTGGGCAACACCAGCCAGGGCCTAGGCATAGATTTTAAATAGCACTGAAATACCAAAATGTTAAAAAACCCTGTGTTTAGCTGGTAGAACCATGACTAACCTTTGTTTTCTATTTTTCTCTATGTTTTATTTATTTATATTAAAAAAATTTTTTTTTTATCCTCACCTTAGGATATTTGCTTTTCAGAGAGAGTGGAAGGGAGGGAGGAAGGGAAAGAGAGAGAGAGAGAAACATCAATATGAGAGAGAGACATCGATTGGTTGCCTCCCGCATGTGCCCTGACCAGGGCCAGGATCAAGCCTGCAACCGAGGTACGTGCCTTGGCCGGAATCCTACCCGGGACCCTTCAGTCTGCAGGCCGACGCTCTAACCACTGAGAAAAACCAGCTAGAGCTGTTTTTCTCTATGTTTTAGTCTTTCTTCTCCATGATAATGAATTATACTATATTTTACTCTAATTTTCATTTATGATTTAATGTCCAGCTGTTAATAGTCATAAATTGGCTCTTGCATTTAGTCACATAAAATTCCTCCTTTTGGAACTGGCCTTTGCTATTTGAATTTAGGAATAGGGCCATCACCTTTGTTCCTTCTGTAGTAGAATAAGAAATTTGGGTTATAGATCGGAAGTAATTCTGCCATCTGTGTTACAGATCTCTCCTGTTGCAGGGCAGCCCCGTGGTTACTAACTATAAACCTGTGAGCTAGGACTCTCCCTTTTAGGCAAAGGTAAAAGCAAACATCACAGGCTGTTCCTCTTTCTTTCCTGTCCTGGCCCACGCTTTGCTGCTCTCCTTCTCCATCCAAAGTGAATTGGTCTTTGCCCATCACTAGAGTTAGGCCACACTTCTGGCTTTGGTCACAGCATGGCAAGAAAAGTGACAAAACCAGTAGAACAGTTAAGGAAATCTAGACACATTGCCCATTTCTACCACAGGGATTTACATGTGTGGTTGAGCTATTAAGATGACATTAAGCCTTGGTGATGTCTACTCATAAAGAAGGTCTGTTCTGTGTCACCACTTTGGAGAAACAGAAAGAAAGGTCCTAACCCCATGAGATGGACTCACACACAGAGAGAAGGTTTACTTCTCCTACTCTAAAGCCAACCAGAGGTTGGAGGGGCTAGTCATAAATCTGTTTTAGTTATCTAAAATAAAGTTACTTTGTTTAGTATTTGAGATTCATAATAAGTGAAGTGTGGTGTGTCTTACCACAGAGGCCTTTTTTTGTTCCTGGTTCACAGCATTGAGTCATAGAGCCTGTATCAAGGATCCCACAAACTACCCAGACCTGATAATTCACTAGGACAACTCAGGACTAGGCACATTGTTGTACTTATAACTATGGTTTATCACAGTGAAAGGACACAAAGCCAAATCAGCAGAGAGAAAAGGCACATGAGATGGAGTCTGGAGGAAACCAGGAGCCAGCTTTGAAGAGTCCTCTCCCAGTGGGGTCGTACAGGACATGCTTAATTCCTCCAGCAATGAGCTGTGACAGTGCATGTGAGATGTTGTCCTCCATTTAGAGACTCAGTGCCCAGGCTTTCATTGGAAGCTGGCAACATAGGCACCCTCTGCCTAGCATGCACCTACATTGCAGGCTTTCAGAAGGAAGGCAAGTGCTCAGCATAAAGTGAGTTGTTTGTGCAGTCTAGGTGTTGAGCCCCTCTTACCAAGTTCTCTGATGTGAGCCTCAGGCACCTCTGCCAGAGGCCTTTCTACAGATGGCAGCCTCTGATCTGGGTTCACTTTTTTCTTTTCTTTTCTTCTTTTTTTTGTTAATCTTTACCTGAGGATATTTTTCCCATTGATTTTTAGAGAGAGTGGAGGGGAGGGAGAAAGACAAGAGAGAGAAACTTCATTGTTGGTTACCTTGGAGGAAAGACACATATTTTTCATTGTTTATATTGTTTGAGATTCTTACAATGTGTAACTCTTAAAAGTACACATTTTATACTTTTTAAAAATATATTAAATTGTCTTAAGTGACTGGCAAAACAGAACTAACTCAGAGTGGAGGGAATGGTATTTTGCCAAACATTTATATAGGCAGAGAGAGGTAGAGAACTTAGAAAAATTCTTCGTAAAATTATTAGTCTTCCAAAACTAAAGTTGGATTAGAAATCTAAAAAGTGAATATAGGGAAGAATGTTAAATTTCTTGGGTATGATAATGGTGTGGTTATGTAGGGAAATGTCCTTATTCATAGGAGGTATGTACTGAAATATTCAAGACTGAAGTGTCAGTGTCTGCAACTTACTTTCAGAATGTTCCTCAGCATGTGTGTGTGTGTGTTGACAGAGGGAAAAAGCAAAGTGGCAAAATGTTAACTGTTGAATCCAGGAGAAGGTTGTATGGAGGTTTGTTTTGCCAGTCTCTTAACTTTTCTATAAGGTTGACATTTTTCAAAATAAAAAGTGGGGGG